CATTGCAGTCCTACGATGCGTCGTTTAATGTGCATTTTTATGTTGAGTTGGGGTTGCCATCCTCGCCATGGATGGAATCATCACATAAGTTATGCACCATCCATTTGTGCCTTCCTCCACACTTCCTATCAATTTGCAGGGATTGTTTTAATTGCAGGCAGTTATGCGATAGCAGTCATGCGCATTGCCAGTAACCAGTGAAGAGGATGCGTAAAGATGAATTCTGCAGATTGTTGCCGTAACTGTGGCGAACTATTCTAACAGAACAAGTAAAGTATGTTTTTAATTAATTACAGGGTCTAAATTTTGCTATCTTCAAACTCCGTAATTGTTTATTAAAAATCACATCACAAGAATGTCACTCCTATTGAAAGCAATTTAATCACAATTTGTAATGTTTAAAACCTCTTTATTGGGTTGAACGTACAAGTGAATGCTGAATGTGCTGCCATGATGCCTCAACCAGGTGGAAGTAGACATCATGTTCATTAAAACACAAATATTGCACAAGAGGAGAGATGGCAAGGTCTTGACTTTGCCCAAAGGCTAGCCCACGCGTACAAGGGTTATACAAATGCCAGAGTAACTGCCAGACATCTGTTGTTCACAGGAAGCGTTATACTGCTCCTATACCCTTTTAAGCAACGTCTGCGTCGCTGTCCTTGTTACGTCGCCTGCATTACCCATCAGCCAGCAGATCCAACCACCACCCACTTCGAGACTGAGGGACAGTACTTTATCTCTTAGTTCCTTCAGCTAGATCTGACGTTACGCTTGGTCTGACAGCCCGAATCGGGACGCATATGTGTTGCTTTCAGTACTAGAGGGTCGAACTCTAGTCTAAAACAGCTGTGTTACGGGGAGTCCGAGATCAGACACGGTCCCGCATAGAATTAGATCCGTAGCATCAAATACGATAAATATACGTGGATGTATTAAGGAAAATTACGGCACGAAACAGTTCCTGATAGTTTATGGTGGTGTCGCTTCAGGCGTTAGTAGCTTGTGTGCGGAAAACTGGGACAAGGCAAGGCCAAATACAGGCATCATTCTCGATCCTTCTGCTGTTGGGAATTCAAGGGTTCCATTCATGACTTATGTGCGCATCCACATCGTTGGTTTATGCCACGAACAGTAGATGCTATAAGTCGTTAAAAATGTCGGCTTTGCTTTTCACTACCACCGGTGTAGCGTCCCAAGACTTTCAACCAAGTGGAGGAAGGCATTTTGCATACGGTTACTATAATATTCATCTGACCCTTGTATATATGGTTTGGCCTTCAGGCCATGCTTAGGCCAAATTACTTTTTTCTCCTTGGAATAGATGTATCCAGCTCCACTTACAGCTTGTTCTGCTCGATGGGAAGTCTCCGGACGCTACATCATAAAGTTGAGCTGAATGCATGCATCATGGAAGGAGGAGGGGGAGTGGAGACAGTGACTTAAACCAATCGTGGCCCGAAGGCCAGTCCGCGCATGCAAGGGCCAGACGAATACCAAAGTAACCATCGGGCATCGGATGGTTACATACACAAATGTCGTACAATGAAGGAAAAATTACAAATCTTATAATACTGCTGCATAAAACTAATCTATTGGGGTCGAACCATGGGCTTGTTACTTTGTTCAAAAATTGTTTTAATCGCTCCAATTAGCTGAAATTTGTGGTGTTTGCTGGTTTGTCGTTCACGTGATTGCACCGTCGTTCTGAGATGAATCGTGAAGGTGGTAAGAAGAAGCCTCTCAAACAACCCAAAAAGCAAGTCAAGGAATTGGATGAAGAGGATATTGCATTCAAACAAAAGCAAAGGGAGGAGCAGAAGAAGCTTGCCGCTGCTAAACAAGTAGCTCAGAAGGGTCCGCTTGGTTCTGGCAAAAACAAAATCACCAAATGATTCTCTGGTACTCTTTCTTCTTACTTCTGAATCGTTAATTAAAAATGC